TATTTTATCGTTCAGAAAAGTAAAGAAATGAATTATGTACTCATTTGTGCACGCCACTGTACATTTATGTCTCTTCATATTCTTAAGTATGTGAGAGAGCTGTATTTGAACACATTTTTCGCTGTTAAAAGTGGAAWATCAAAGAACTTATTTTTCTTCAATATTCTCTGCTTGGGCATATATGGCATGTCATTATAGGCCGAAAATACATATATTTATTTCTCTTCATATTCTCTGTTTGAGTATGTGGAGAACTGTTAAAAATGTTAACATTTCTCATCGTGAATTCTGTGGTTGTGAGGTGAATTCCCTATCACAATCTTATAAAATGTTCGACATCGAACCTGCACCTTCTCTATGTTTTAAGTTCTCTGGCTTTTACTGCAGTACCTAATTGCACGGAAATTAATACAGACGATGCTACTATATATCGACCGACATACACATATTTTTATTTCTTGTAACTTGTTTTATATACACTTTAATTATATTGACTGATTCATGATATTTTCAAAACAGTTTACATTTCTTTTTACGTCATAAAATATACAAATAAATTAAATTCCGTAAAGGATAAATAAATAATTAATTTAAATTTCAAATAATTCAAACTTGATTTGGTAGCACTTCCACTTTATAGGATTGGCCGCACTTGCCCCTGCATGCAACTCTCAGGATTTCGGCAATTGGATTGTATTTATTAAACATTTGCGACTTTTGTTTTGCTTCTACATTCGGTGATAATTTGAATTCAGACAATTTTGCAATCATGACCACCAAGAAAGACATTTTATTTCAAGTGGATCGAAACCAAAAGCGCAAATCAAATATCTACAATACCGATGAAGAAACAACTGAGGATGCCACCGTCAATGGCGGTAGTCCAATGGAAACATTTCAACAACAGGTATAACGCTATAATACTCAAAGATTGGTTTACGTTTCAATTATATGTCAAATATAAAAGGCTTTAGAAATACGAGAACCCGGTCCTGATTTCGATCCCTCTGTAGCACCAAAAGACGGCGATGAATATCTTATGCATATGTTATATGAACGAAAAAATTGCCCAGCCGTAATGGTACGGGAGCCGAACAGGTGTAAAAAGAATAGAACTGCCGCTGCTTTGGCCGAAAATTTCAAAGATGAAGACGTAAGAGCATTATCAATGTAATTTATTTAATGAAGTGGTTAATATATAAGTATACTTAAAGGAACCTTTGAAATCTATCGCGTATAACGGAATACTGCCTACAAAAGAGTGGAAGGACTATCAGATTAAAGATTTTGAAGCTACGCGCGAGAAAATAGTACTTCTACGTTTAGAACTGCACAGACAACGATACGACCAAATGCTGGAACCTCCATTAATAGCTGATCCAGTTGCTTGGCATCAATTCTGTCACGACAATCCGCCATATCTAAAAACAATATTGCGCTTCAGTCAGCGCACCTTAGAGCAACTTTTGGAATTCATTTGTGATTGGCTGCGTGTTGGTGAAGAGAAAGTAGTTTTAGAAAACATTTCTTCAGAGGACGATATAATGCCTTCGACTTCAAGTGCCGGCTGCAATGAAAATATGAAAGCGGCCATATTAGATCTCACAGATACAAATGCGTGGTTAGGTACATGGTTATATGGTGCCTTAACCTGCCTACATATACCCATTGAACCAGAAGTGCATAGTACTTTGCGGGACATAGCGCGTGTTTGCATACGATTGCGGGGTCGTTTACCAGCCACAGCAACAGGTAAAGCTGTGCCATACAATCTATTCATACTATTGATTGCAAAGGCATTTGGACAAATGGATTTTGCCGAATTCGTTTGATGATGGACAATTCCACAAGCACGTAAAATAAATTTTATGCCATCATTCAAAATCTGGAAAGTAGTTTTTATATAAGTGAATAAAAAACATGTCTAAAATCATAACATCAGTTTGTATTCAGTAGTTCTTTGTGTGTAAATTTGTAAAATATTTGCTACAGAACACTTTTCGGTATGATTGACAGGTCTCACAACGACGCAGGTGGTCGTCCGGTGCTGATATCGAGGAAACTGTACAAATAGAATGGCATTGTTGTGAGGGACTACTCATACGCGTAACTTGGCTGAGATTGTACAAACTAGGATTACTGAAATTACTAAAAAGAAGATTTATGAATAGGTATGCAAATGTAAAAAGAAGGATACTTCACCTAGAACCAGTTGAAAGGCGACGTTCGCTGTTTTGACCTGACACTGCATCTATTTTGTATGACTTTGGCGCATTCGGGCAAGAAAAAGCACTACTCTTCTTTGAAAACCTTGTGAGCGAAACGCAGTCAAATGCATGTAATACATGAGTATAAAATACTAAGTGAAAATACACACCCACTGCCACAATTTGTTTTCAGGTGGCAAACTGGTCGCTGGCGTCGTTTCTCTTCCAAATAGTTAAAACAATTATTTGTGGAAGATAGTGACTGCTGAGTGTGCCGGTTTAGTTTGCGTTTAACTTCAAATTCTAGTTTGTTCAAAGTTATATTGGTGCCAGACTGCTGCACAAATTTTTCATTTTCCTCATCCCGTTGTGGACGGTCCTGCACACCTATGTGCGCGCTTAACTCCACTTTAGGTGCAATAATTCCCTTGAAGACCCAGTGGCACATTTTGGGAATGAATTATAAAATAAATATGCTTTTTTTTTTTAATTACCGGAAATGCTGGCGTGGCTTTCATCAGAAGTTGTACATTGATATTGTGTTCACAGGACAATTTAGGTATATCTGATTTCATTACATCGGCTAGTTTACCAATAAAGAACGCCATGCGTCGTCCGTTCTGCCAAAGCGTTATCTCCATTTGCTCAGCGGCTAACACGCTCTCCAAGTCACTCGGTGAGTCGACAGACTTAAAGTAGCCATCCATAGTGAATTTGTCATGGCAGAGCAGGGGGAAACGTGGCTCCATAGCTCCGGTACGAAGATAGTAACCCAACGTTTTGATAGTAACCTCCAAATAACCATGTGTGCAAAGCCACACCCCTGGACAAGTCACCTAAAATAACTCTAATAGTGTATTCCAAATTGTACATATAATAATTATTTTTATAATAAATATTTGCTTGTATTTGTTCACGAATTTATAATTAGTGAAACTAATTACCGCATGTAATTGAAATTCTATTTTAACAAGCAATCGTTTCGGATACATTTTCCACACATTCAAGAAAAATGAAGGAATAAATTATTATAAAATACAATTTTTCTGTTCTGTAATGGGCACCCTTGAAAATAATTGTTTGTATAGAAAGTGGACGGTTGTTTCGGTTTGCTTTCGTTAACAAAAGGTTGTGGAGTTGGGGCCGCAAGAGGCTGCTCCCCTTTGAACTGCGTTCAGGCGCAAGCATATATATATATATATGTATGTATGGATATGTTTAATTTTTTGTTTTGCCGGTGAATTTAAAATGAACGCGTAGCTAACCAACGGTTGCTAACGGTATTTTCTAGGTTAGTATTCTGCTTTTTCTGTTTGAATATTCAGATGTACAAGTGTTACATATTTATGTTTAAGCATAACTACGTCCATAAGTTGTACTTGAACTACTAAATATGTATCTAGTAAATATGTATGCATGTAAACAAAATTTGAAATATAATTAATATTAGCACTAAATTCACGGAAACTTAATTAAATTTATTTCAAACTTTTTTTAAGCTACGACCCAAAATGTATTACAAAATTAAATTATTATGATAATGCATTGAAATAATACAATAAATATGTTACACTTCTGATCACCAAAAAATATGTCTTACTTATCGCTCCTACTCCTCCGACAGAACCTGCTGATAAAATAGAACTACAACAAACCAACTTACAACTGAAACTTATCGTCCAAACTTATCCATTCATACTTATGTTAAAAAAAAAAGCACTCGGCAAAGGTGACAGTGCTCTCACGTGGCGCTCCGTTCTTGGCACAGAAACTTTGTGTAACACCATAGGGTCCCCAATAGTACATCCAAAAAAAGTCAGCACTTTACAACGCCACGAATGGTCAACAATTTAAGAGCGGACAGAGTAAAGGACACACACACACACAATTCGTATATGTGTATCTACTTTGAGCATACCTAGTGCAACATAAGTTATGCTAGCGTGGGGAGTAATGCGCCAAGCTTTTATGGCCATAAAATTGAAATTCACTCAGAAGAGTAAGAAATGAAAGTCATATTTTTGCCATTTCAACACCTAACTAACATAGTAATGCGTAGCGGTTTACTGTAATTTAAGGCACTTATTTATTTGCCTACTTCTAAGGAACTTCTAAGAGCTGGCTATTTTCTAAACAAATAAAATTTTTCTGCGACAAAATGAGCTATAAAAGCTCCTTTATTGAATCGTGCTTTGTTTGATACTTAATTAATTTCTTCGAGTTTTATAGCATACGTTTACATTTACTTAGTTAATAGCTCTCCGTGATATCATTTATATTTATAACTTTTTAAATATTTATTAGTACATATGTTTGACTTTTAAATAAAACATAATAGTCTATAATTACTACATCATCTCTTACAACTACGTATATATTGTGCACAGTGCGTACACTGTAAAAAGTTTTCATAGTTTGTTCAAATGGCGTATGAGACAAGCCTAGCCATTGAACATATTTTACTACATATTTACTTAGAGTTTGTTTCATATGTTAATTTGCAATGGTGGAACTATACGAACTCAGCAGCCACGAGTAAAGCCGATTCTTTTAAGTGTACGCACACTTAAGCACAGCCATCGAATCCCGAATTAACGCATTACAACTGCATTACATCCCATTCTTCGTCCAAATAATGAAGTATAGGTTTATCATGCAAACGATCCCCAAATACTTCTCGCAACACTTCCAATACTCTTTCTTGAATAACTCCCACTTGATGTTTGGGACAGTAATCATCTTCGGCTGAGCAAGCCATTGTTATGAGCACCGGCGGAGTGGGTAAATTTTGTAATAAACATTTAAATTGTCCGATATATTGTTCCAATTCTTTGGATGTGCTAATGTGGTGTGGTAATCCATTTGTATCGGTTGTACTACCTGAATCATATATAAGCAGCCAGTCTATTTCATCGTCTGCATAATGTTTCTGCAGTGATTTTGCTAGATTCTCAATGCGAACATAAGTCTCCGGCGCAATAATGTTCGGATCAGGTGCCGGTGTTAGACCATCTAATGTTCTTGTTTCTTCCAAATGTTCAAATATCTTTTTTAGTGCTTCCAATTGTAATTTGCGTCGCACAGTTGTGCCACCACAGTCTTTGACTTCTGATTCAAAATGGAAAATATCGGTGAGTTGTTCATAACAATTTGCATCTTTATAAATTTCTAAAAATGGATTGGAAGTACTGAAGAAATCCAAATCAATGTCTAATACAAAATTTGGTCCATCTGCCTCTTTGATGAACTGTCCGGGGTCAATTGGTGCACTACTACTCGAAGTATCTACATTAAATACTTGCAGTTCCATATTGCGCGTATCCAGCAACTCTTTTGTATCACAGTAGTTACCCTCAGATATAAAATAATCAAGCGGGCAATCTACACTAATTTTATCATTCTTATGGCCAATCTTAAAGCTGTATTTGCCTATAGGAATTTGTTGGCACCAAGAATTCTTCAACCAAATAACTCTATTGAAGTGACCTAAAAATAAAAATTAGCAATGCATATTTTTCAAAAATAATTAAAATTTTACCTGCATAGCAAGCCGGCATAATCCAATTTTCAATGCTAAGCTCTGCCAACATGGTTTCCTTGTCATAAGAAGCACTTGCTGGAATTTCCCGTGATATAACCATGTCAGGATGCGAATCAAAATGTATTAGTATATTATTCTCCAGCGGCAAGTGTCGGGTGGCCAAACAACGATATATAAATTCCAACACATCATTGTGATAGTCCGCAATAAAAATAGGAATTCGTTGGAATTTGCGCGGTTGTGCATTCTTCAATTCTTCTGTATCCAAAGTAAAATCTTTCGGCTTTAACACAATTCTATCTGATACAGTTCCTGCTATAGAAGTGGTGGAGACATTCCCCAAACCACTTTCTTCATCTAAATCAGATTTGGGGCGCTTTGTTGGCGGTTGCTCCTCCGTTCCCGCCTCGCTTTCAGTCGATTCTTTTGGAGTATTAACCGTATCAATCTTTTTCGCTGCCACGCTTTCACTTACTGCCGACGATGATTCTAAAAGTCCATCACTAGCCTCTATTACCCCTTTTGGTGATATCTCCACCGTGGGCGAGGCACTATTTCCATTTGAATCTCCTTCCATTTCAATTTAGATTTTTTAATATACTTGAGAAGCGAAAATTTTGTAAAATCACTTTTTGTTTTCTTTTGGTAAACTAGTCTGATAAGTGCTTTGAACTTCCTTTCTCTGACTTTACGCTTTGAATATGAAAGTGACAAATTTCGGCGAAAAACAGCGATTGTTTGCGTCTTCTTCTTCTTCTTCGAAAACCTATTCACAACTCTCATAATAGAAACTTTGGGTCGGCTTTAGTATGGGACGGTATCGGGAAATAAATGACGGATTTCGGGAATAAAATGGGTATGGTCGGATAGAGGCGATTTTCCAGGTCAAGAATATATATTGTTATAGCCGCAGGAGCTTATAGTTTTCGAGATATTCGCGTTTAAAGTCAAAAATGATCACTATTTTAATTACGTCTTTTCTCGATATGAAATTAATTTTGCATTTATATTTTTCACTTTTATATCCTACTAGAATAGAATAGAATGTTATTTGAGGTAATACACTGCGACCTAAGGTCTATTGTGCCCTTATATCCCACTAACACATCACTAATTTATTTTTACACATTTATTTTAAATAATATAGTGCAACACATTCACCGTCGAACTGTCATCGTAACCGGTTGCTTTTCSCTCTTTGCTTATTGAGTTTGTTAAAACGGTATAACGGTTTGTTCTGCGTTTATATTACGCTCGTGCTTTGTTTGTGAATTAATTTTTTATTGTTTTATATCTTTTCAATCACTTAATTTCTTAATTTGTTAAACTAAAATTCGCGTTTACTATGGCCCCTGGGGCCACTTAATTCGTTATCATGCTTCGCTACGTATAAAGGTATKCRAGCAATCAGTAAGGAAGTAAGTAAAGTTACTGAGCTACGTGATGGTAGCCTACTGCTCTTTGTAAATAACAACAAAACAGCTAGCAAATTTCTTTCTGCAAAAATTTTACCTGGCGGAGGTCATATCAATGTCAA